CTTGATCGGCATTCATGTCCCCCAACCAAGAAAGAGTAGACCCCACGGGGCGGGATCGACCGAGTTGGATGGCACAGTTGAGAGAATCATGGAAAAATCGTGGGCAAGATGAGAGAAGAGAAAGGATCTGGCATGATGGTGGCAACCATCGAGACAGTCGGGACGAAGATCAACACGGATAGATCTCCAATCGCAGACAATGTCTTTCACACGTTTTCTCAGAGATTTGTGCACAAGCACGCCCATGGCCCTACACCCGGGGCCAGAGTGATGGCGGTAGTAAGCGTGGCCATTGAAAACAGGGCGTAGTAGCCCATCGTTTTGAAGGCAGCCCTTGAAATCCGCCTCTAGATACAAATTAAGCCCCAGCACTTCAGCTCGAGCAAATCTAGGTTGGCTTGCATTTGAGTCTCGTCGGCCCACTTGCCCTGCACATTGAGTGCACAAACGAGACCCCTCACGTAAGCATCTCAGAGAGATAGTGCCTCGTCGATGGTGTCTTTGAGCGTCTTGCGGAGCGCTTCGTCGGGGATCTCCTTGAGGGACTCGTGCCACTGGAATTCCCCATCTTTGATAGCACCTATCTGACGGTCCAAGACGAAAAATTTTCGAGTCCGAGAACAAACCACGTAACTGTCCGTGCGATCTCCCATTGCCCTTTCCAGTGCTTCTGAAACGGTCTTGAACAATTTTGCTGGGCCACGCTCCTCCTTCGTACTAATCTGGCCACACCAGATCATATGTTCCAAGTGCCCAGGGATCTTGAGATCACGGATCGTAGCTGCTGCTTGAAGTCCCACCGCAATCGAACTCCATTTGATCTCAACACAACTCCCATACCCGAATGGTGCAACAATATGCGTGGGCTGGGGAACATCCGCTCTGCGAAGGACCGCCCGTGCCTTCTCCAGAGCCTCTTGCTTCTTGAGATTCCAGCCCAGGTTGGTGAGAATGAAGATGTCTCTATCTGCTCTTGGGGTGCTGGCCCACGGCGGACCCTTTTTCCTAGACGGACCCTGGCTTGACTGACTTTCTAACTGTTTGGCTGCCATTTCCGCGCGCAGGGACTTCTGCTCCAGTTCAACAGCCAGGATCCTTTCGTTGAAGGCTTTCTGCACCTCGGTTTCCCCTGCCTCAAGGTTGGCAAGCTTTACTTCGTGGTCATTGATCAAAGTGACGGCTACTGAGAATTCCTGAGCCATCGCCTTTTGAGTTCCCAATACATCAAGTTGTAACGAATCAATACGGTCCTTGATAGGAGCGATCTTTTTATCTAGGAGAGACTCGAGTTGCGCCAAAAATCCGTCGGCACCGGTGGCGGTCGAGGCAGCCCCCGATGGAATTGAACCATTCTCTCCCAGGCCCGTACCCTTAGCAGATCCCTTGGCCGCCAAGGTTCTCATAGCTTTCGAGGCTTCTTGCTGATTTTCTTTGTCTTCGTCTACCGTCCGAGCTTCGTCTCTCAGTCTTTTCTGCTTATCGATATCCAACGATAAGAGCTTTTGCATGGTTTCTCCAATCTGCAATGTCGGCATGGCCGAAAGTGTTAAGCACGAGCCAGTTACCCAAAATTTGAGATGGAAATGAAACGCCGAATTGACAAAACCCAGCAAAATTCACGAATTCGCCAAATTGAGTCGATATCCCACCGACAGAGATGATATCCCACTGATAGATCCCACTGATTGAACCCAAGGCCAGGCGATCTCGCTGAACAGGAAGAAGACGGAGAAGGCAGCGATGGCTGCCGCGCCCCCCCCCCCCAAGAGCGCCCCGCTTGAGCGCCCCGCTTGAGCGCCCCGCTTGAGCGCCCCGCTTGAGGCCTTGAGCCAAAATGGCTTGAGCCAAAATGGCTTGAGCCAATAAGATGGGGGGATAGGGGGGATAGGATGGGTTTGAATTGGAGATCGCGCTCGGTCTCGGCGCGGGCATCCCGCGAGTCGACGGCGGCGCGACCGGGGGGCCGAAGCCGGCTCACCTGCTGGGCGGCGGGGGCGGGGGCGACTACGGCGCCGAATCCTGGGGCGCAGCGTATATGCGTGATCCCGCCTCCCCTGCCCGATCTCGCAACTCAGCGACTGGGGGGTGAGTCCTATACTAAATTACGGCTACAACATCAATTACTACGGCTGCTACTACTACTACTACAATTACTACTACTACTACTACTACCATTACTACTACTACTACTACTACTACTACTACTACTACTACTACTACTACTACGACTACGACTACTACTACTACTACTACTACTACTACTACTACTACTGCTACGACTACGACTACTACTACTACTACTACTACTACTACTACTACTACAACAACAACAACTACTACTACTACTACTACTACTACTACTACTATTACACATTCCCCCAATTCTCCTCGTCGGCCGCTGCCGCCGCCGAGCCGCTCGCCGCGCCGCCGCCGTGCTCTGGGGAGTCGCGGAGGAAGCCGCGCCCGAGCGCGGCGGAGTCGGGCAGCTGCCGCGCGCGGCCGTTGGGCCACCTGGGGACCGGGGAGGCGGTGGACTGACAAAAAGAATAGGAGGAAGACGAGGAGGAAGGCAGAAGAGGAGCAACTGCAGGAGGAAGGCAGAGGAGAAAGACTAGGAGCAAGGCAGAGTAGGAAGAACCATGGCGGAAGAGGAAGACGAGGAGGAGCAACCTTGCAACCTTGCCAATCCCTTCGTGATGCTGGTGGCGAAGTGCTTCTTGTTGTCGTCCTTCTCGGTGTGCCGGACCGTCTCGTCGTCGAACTCGCGCGCGTAGATCGCCTGCGGGGCGGCCCCCCTTCGCGCGTCGCCCTTCAAGCACCCTGCGTGTATATATGTGCAGGTATGCATATATGTATGTGGCTGTAGATATCATATATATATATATATGTGCGTGTGTGTATATACGCGTGTGCATAGATGTGTTCGCCCAGCATGCGTGTTTCATGCGCAGAATGCGCGGGGCCGTGAGGGGGGGGAAGGGGGGGCGCGTGTTTCTGATGGCCCGTTGTCCTCTATCTCCTGCTTCGGGGGTAACTGCTGGCGACCGAGGCCTCATCATCATCTTCTTCTTTCTCATCGGAGTGCTGTATCCTGATGGGGCTGGTTCCGCTGCTGCTGCTGCTGCGGGTGTTGCTGCTGGCGGTGCTGCTGCTGCTGGCGCTGCCGCCGGTGCTGCTGCCTGCGCTGGCGCTGCTGCCTGCGCTGCAGCTGGCCGTTTCGCCGCGCCTGCTGCGGCGGCTGGGCGCTTCCTGGCCGGGGGCAGGGGGGGGCGCCGCCGGCCCCCCGTCGCCGGGGGCCGATGGGGAGGCGAAAGGGAAGATGAGGAGGGGGGGGATGAGGAGGAAGAGAGGGCGAGGAGGAGGTGGAGGAGGATGGGGGGGGAGAAGAAGAGGAGGAAGAAAAACAGGAGGAGGGGGGTGAGAAGGGCGACGGGGGGGGGCAGCTACATCCCGCGAACAACGGCGCGGGGCGCGGGGGGCAAGAGACGCGAAACAAAGAAACATGGCGAAGCAAGGGGATGGAAGGAAACGGGCGTGCACGCGCGTGGATGCCTGTCCTGCGCGCGGCAGCTTTTTCCTTGATCTTCTTCATGTCTGCCGCTGCATCTTGGTCAAGCCTGGCCGGAGCGGCCAGCGTGGACGGAGGATAAGTAAGATGAGGAGGCGTGGCGGGGGGGGGGGGGGGAGGCTGAGGGGGGGCAAGGAGAAGAATGAGGAGGAGCAGGGTGGAGAAAGACGAGGAAGAGGAGAAGGAGGGGGAGGAGGATCACAGGAGGAGGACGAGGAGGGGGAGGAGGGACAGGAGGAGGAAAATGGGCATGGCGAGCACCCCCCCCCCACCTTCAGCGTAGTACTTCTCGCCCAGCGACGAGAGGTTGTCGAGCGCTGTCTGGAAACACTCGAACCACGCAACATTGACCTGCGCCACCTCGCAGGTGGAGGAGGAGCTGGAGGAGGGGGCTTGGAGTTCTTCCTGCGCCTGCGCCGTCCTCAATCCTCCTCTTCCGCCTCCTCCCTCGTTCCTTCCCTTTCCTTTCTCCCTGACCCCCTCCCTGGGCTCCCGCCTGCTTCTTCTCGACGGTCGGGCGCGTGTCCTTCAGCTGCAGCAGGTCGTCGCCGCGCTCGTCGCGCCGCTGAATCTTGATCGTGGGCTGGTCGGGGCAGCGCCGATGGGCGTTCTCGCCTCTAGCGGGGCGCTGAACAGAAAATCATCGACAGGGGTGCATACTTACGCGCCCTCGTCGATGATGCACGCCCTGATCTAGGAATGGACGCATAGATCATGGCAGCTAGTCGTAGTAGTAGCAGTAATAGCAGTATAGTAGTAGCAATAGAAGTCGTAATATAGTAGTAGTAGTAGTAGTAGTAATAATAGTAGTAGTAGTAGTAGTAGTAGTAGTAGTAGTAGTAGTAGTAGTAGGGTAGTAGCTCAAGTAGTAGTAGTAATAATAATAGTAGTAGTAGTAATAGTAGTAGTAGTAGTCATACTAGTAGTGGCAGTAGTAATAGTAGCACTCGTAAACGTAGTAATCCGATAGTAGTAGCAGTATAGTAGTAGTAGTGGTAGTAGTAGTAGTAGTAGTAGTAGTAGTAGTAGTAGTAGTAATAATAGTAGTATTATTATTAGTAGTAGTAGTAGTAGTAGTAGTAGTAGTAGTGGTAGTAGTAGTAGTAGTAGTAGTAGTAGTAAGTAGTAAATAGTAAGTAGTAGTAAGTAGTAAGTAGTGGCAGTATTGTAGTAGTGGTCTTAGTGGTGGTAGTGTAGGAGTAGTCGTATTAAGTAATAGAAGTAGTAGTAATAGTAGTAATAGTAGTAAGTCCCGTTGTAGTAAGTAATTTATTATTGGTATTAGTAAGTAGTAGTAGCAGCAAGTATAGGTAGTAGTACATTAGTAGTAGTAGTAGCAGTAGTAGTAGCAGTAGTAGTAAGTAGTAGTAGTAGTTAAGTAGTCGTATTAGTATTAGTAGTAGTAATGAATAGTAGTAGAAGTATAGTAGTCGCAGTCGTAGTGGTGGTAGTATGTCTAGTAGTAAGGGTAGTTAGTAAGTAGGTAGTAGGTAGTTAATAGTTAGTAGTTTAGTAGTAGTAGTATAGTAAGTAGTGTAGTAGTGTAGTAATATAGTAGTAGTAGTAGTAGTAGTAGTGCTATCGTATTAGGGGGGGGGGGGGAGGGGAGGGGGGGAGACACAAGTAGTAGTAGTAGTAGAAGTAGTCGTAGTCGTAGTAGTAGTAGTAGTAGTAGTAGTAGTAGTAGTGGTGGTAGTAGTAGTAGTAGTAGTAGTAGTAGTAGTCGGTAGTAGTAGCAGCCAATATCGCATAGTTTATCGTCGTCGTCGACGGCCTCTTGCAGCCTTCTCGCCGTGCACCGACCGCCCGATCGGGCGCCCCCGCAAACGCGTCATGTCGCGCGGCTTCTGCGCGCCGCATGGCCACCTGGCCGCGCGGGGGGCCGCCGTGATTCTGGGGGGCTCGATAGAAAATTGGACGGTATAATGTTGCATATAATGCATGTATGCCTGCATGCAGATGTACATGATGTATGTGTCGCTGGTACTAGTGGTGCGTGCGTAATTTGGTATGCTGCATGCAATTCATGTATGGCATGTATGTAATATAGATGTATGGGTGTATGTATGTATGTATGTATGTGGCGAAGTGGGCCCACCCATCCATCTCCCCATCCAGTCCTCGCGATCGGAAGGTTCATCGCCGTCGATGCGCTCACCGCGTACTGTTTGACGTCAACCCCCTTGAGCATCATGTAGCCTCTCTGGCTTGCCTCGTCCCAGCCAAACTCGTAATCCTGCTGGGGCGCGCGCGAATGCTGCCCCCCCCCTCCACCTCTCCTGGCCCCCTCATTCTAAGCGGAGCGAGGGGGCGGGATCCGCCGTGCTCGGTTGGAGGGCCCTGCAGCTCCCCCGGGCCCTCCAACTTCGCTGCAGCTCCAACCGGCGTCGACTGCGCACCGGGCGCCGCAGCGCGCGGCTGCAGGAGGAGAGAAGGGCGGGGATGCGGCGTCGGGGATCCGAGGGGGATGGAGGGTGCTCGATCGACGCGGAAAGGGCCCAGGAGATTCGACGAGGAGGGATGGAGGCCCGACATGTCGGAACATGGAGGAGGGAGGGGAAGAGGAGGAGGATCGAGGACGGCGAAAACGAGAGGAGGAGGAGGAGGGAGGGGGATCGCCAGATCAGACGGATCGACCTCCTCGTCCTGCAACTCGTCGTCCTCGGCGGCGTCCTCCTCCTCCTCTGCGTCCTCGTCGCCCTCGGGGTCGTCGAAGGCGGCCTCCAACACGCTGTCGGCCAGCGCTACGTCGACCGAGTCGTCGTCGTTGTCGGCGGCCTAGGGGGGGGGGGAGCGAGGGGAATGGCCGCCCGCGCAGTTGGCTAGCGAAGATGAGCGAAGGAAGCGCAAAGAGGCAGGAAACGAGGGAGTGAAGAAGATGAGTCAGAAAGAAACGTCGGACGAGGAGATGGATGATGATGCTGATGAACATGACGATGACGACGATGAAGATGATGATGAGCATCATCATCATCATCCTCATCACCATCATCACCAGTAAGTCGGAAGAGGACGTGGACGGGGGGAAAGGGGGGCTGAGGGCGAGTCGAAGGAGCAGCCAGAAGAGGAGAGCGGCCTGCTGGAGGACATCAGCCGCCGACATCCTGTTCCTCCGCGCCCGTCTCGTCACATCCTCAGGGAGGGGGGGCCAGCGTCGAGGAGAGGGGTGATATGTACATATATATATATATATATATATATATATATACATGTTTTCATGTAGATGTACATACTTGTGTAGATGTAGATGCAGATGTAGATGTAGACGTAGATGTGGTAAGTTGTAGATGTACATGTGTATATATATATATAGATGTACACGTACGTCTACATGTATATGCATCCGAGATGGAAGCCGTGCCCTGGCATAGACCCATGATGCGTTCGGCGATCTTCTGCTGCATGTCCTCGGCCTCTGTCTTCTTCACCTGGGCTGGCCCCAGCCGCCGGTCATGGCCCCCCCCCGCCGCGCTGCTCCTATAGACTCGATGCTATATATATATATATATATATATACCACTCCTATATACCTAGCCCTACTCCTACTATAGTACTCCTACTCCTCCGTTTCCTCCCTCCTCCTCCTCCTCCTCCATATTCCTCCTCGGGTCATCGCCCCCGCGTGGCCTGCCGCGCCATGTCGACCGCCACCTTCCCCACGGCCTTGGCCATGCAGGGCTTCGCGAAGTGCAGCTTGTCGTCCACCTGTCTCGTGTGTGCGTGCGTGGGGGTGTGTGCGTGTGTGTGTGTGTGTGTGATCGTGTGTGTGTGTGTGTGTGCGTGTGCGTGTGCGTGTGCGTGTGCGTGCGCGTGCGCGTGCGCATGCGCGCGCGTGCGTGCGTGCGTGTGTGTGTGAGTGTGTGTGTGTGTGTGCGTGTGTGTGTGCGTGCGTCGTTTGCTCTCTCGTGCCTAGCTCCTTGCCTCGATCCCAGCCCCCCTCCAGCTGCGCGCCCTGCACAGCGCCACCAGCAGCTCTGCGTGCTCCCTTATCGCGGCATGCTTGGCCTTCACCGTGCTCGCGAACTTATGCGGGGGCGGGGGGGAAGGGCGAGGTTCAGACAGAAGAAAGAGAAACGAGAAGGAGAGCAATCCTTCACGATCGGCGGCGCGGCCGCGAAGGGCTTCAGGGCTGCCTGCGCGCCCGCGACATCCCTGGAAGCGATGGCCCCCATTCGGGGGCATCCCTCTGCGGGTGATTCCCATGCACTGTGCCTGGGCCACAATGGCTGTAAACTACATATGTATATGTATAGGATATACGAGTGCATGTATTGCACATTTAAATACATGTATTTATATATACACATGTGTATATATATGTGTGTGCCTATATCATAGATGCTCGGGCCCACTGCCTCGGAATCAGCATCGATAGCCCCGCGTGCTCAACGTATAGGGCCCGCGCGCTTACATGCAAACATCACGGGCACATAACAACTCATGGGCACCGTGCCTATGACATGGGGGCCGCGACCCTCTGGGGAGGGGAACCCGCCAGACGGCGGCTGCCCCCCATCCCCACCGGCTGAGCCGTGGGGAGGTGCACCGCCGCTACCTCCACTGGCTAAGCCGGGAGGGTTTTCGATGTAGGGAGGCTGGCCGGCAGGTGGTTCGCCGGCCGCCTGTTTCCCGGCCCCATGGTCATCCAATGATAGCTGACATTGGTCCGCGACTGCTGGCCGGTTATCCTCGGCGATCGGGTCGCCGGGCGCCTCCGTTGCAGTCCCCAGCTTCTTTTGCGGTGAGTCCTCATCAGCATCTGGGTCGAGTCCGTCTCCGGCAAGCCATTCCTCGAAATTATGTGGCCTCTTCCAGGGACGCCGTCTTTTCCTCCAGTGCACTGCCTGCTTGGGCGCGTCCTCGAAGCATGCCGCTTTCGCGGCAGCGGTAAGGGCTTCCTCGACCACGTTCACCGGCACACTGCATTTTCCTTTGACCATTGGAAGAGCGAACATCGTTCCCCATTCTTCCCCAATGGCTGAGCCATGGGGAGGCTTTCGAGGGGAAGGCCCCCATATGTCAATCCAGACTTTGGGGAAGCCTTCTCTCCAATGATCCCCCACTGGCACGCTCGCGCAATTTCCCCTGGGGGTCTCGTACCGAACGGCTGGGCCGACGGTAGGACCAAATACTTCTCCCGGCTCGAGCGGTCGTACTATGCCACGATATCCCCCCGGGGGGTCCGCGTACACCCTACTGATCAGCTTCGTCTTCTCGTCAAGATACGTCTGAAAGAACGTTCCCACTGGGGTTTTGTCGACGTCAGGAGGGGCACAATCGAAACGGCAAGTGGCCCTCCGCTCAAACATAGTCCAATGTACTGTCCATGGGTCTTGGGGGACCTGGGAGTATAAACGCTGGAATATCGTCTGAGACGTTGATTCCAGGTCCGCCCTCAATGCAGTCACGACGGCGTCATTTCTCGTATAAAGTATGTCGTTCTTCCACGTCGTGCAGCGCCAACCCCAGCCCTTTGATGGCGCAAACTTAATAGTTCCGTCTTTGGGTCCCGCTCGGGACCATTCCCTTAGTTTGTCAGGGAGGCACTTGAAGACCGCTTTGTTTCTCCATGAGTCGACGTCTTCAACGTTGGGGTCAGCCGCTTTCTTTGGGCAAGTGTTGTCCTGGGGGTCAATCTCAGCTGTCCTTTTCTTACATTTCGTTCCCCGATTGATGGTTTCTGCGCCATCTTCCATTTCAATATCAATCTCGGACAATGTCATTCGGGCTAACGTGGTCGTTTCTAGTCCCATCCGGCTGATCCGGTGGGCAAGCCTTCCCGCTCGGCTGAGCCGGCGTCAAGGCTTTTCGAACTGTGGCGAAGAAAGCATTGTTATAATCCTCTTCCTCCTTGCTCTCGTCTACAACAACGTCGGAATCAAACTCATCCACGATGTCATCAGACTGAATTGAGATCACGTCTTCACCCGGTGGCACAACCACCTTCTTCCTTAGCGGTCGGCACATGGGTTCAGTCGTTGACCTCTCCGGCGCGAGGAGACCGCGGCAAGCGAGATTCGAGCAGTCGCCGCCAAGCAACCGCTCGCCTCTACGGGGCCGGTCGCGGGGCAGCCCGCGCAGGCTGTCGAGCCGAAACGGCGGCGGCACATATGGGACATATAGGATTGGGAGAAGAAGTAGGACGGCGACGAGACGACACAACTCTCTCTGCGGCATTGGCGACGGCAAAATGAACCTGCTTGGCAAACTCATCAGTGTAATCTTCAGCGCTCTTACACTCTCGTCCTCTAGCCTCAACATGCTCGCGTGCGCCGTCACACCTGCGTTATAACCCCTCCGCAGTGATGGAAGAGGTGGTGGCTATCGTCCAAGGCTTTTTCATGAAATTACCCTTGCTATCCTTCAATCCGCATGCGCACCCGTGCAACGCCGTCTTGGTAAATCCCAACTCTCGAAGAAAACTCTTCACCTGGGGGTCTCTCCAATACTTACACTGGGTAGGCCATTCAATGCATGCAACGCCCCCCCGCTTTGTGCACAGCACGGGCAATCTCACGGAAATTCCAAAACAGGTATCGGAAGTCGGTTCTGATGCCCCGAAGCCTGCACATAGCCCTATGATTGCCAGTGCGGAAATAATGCGCCTCGTTGATATACTGCCAGGGGGGGGCCTCCTGTACGCGGCATGGAGCCCCACAACGTGATATGGTTTCCCTTGAATGTAGCTATATCGTTCAGCGCTATTTTGAGTCCCTCCTACGTCCTCTTGTCTTCCTTCCCGGTGTATCTAAAATCACTTTACATGAGTTGCCGACGAAATTCTTAGGGTATCCTATCCTACTTTGGGGGCCACAACAGTATTCCGACAAAAGTCTTTCCCCGGTCCACTGAGTGGCCGGGGCGCAATCTTCTCGGATTTTAAATTCTGTGTATCCCGTCCATTTGCTAAGGCAATAATCACCGTCGCTAGAATCGCCATCTGGGTCGTATTCAAATGGGTGATGATACCTGCTTTCTTCATCACGCCAATTATCGATGCGATCTATCGTCAAACCTTGTTGGAAATTGACGGCATAAGTGCGACGTTTATCATCCGACTTATCGAGTTCGACGGGGCAATCCCCGATTGCCGGCATGAATGTGACAAGTCTCGGAACATAGTGATATCGTTTCAAACTCTGTCCTTGTCTCATCCATTCATCCCTTCTGTCAGAGAAGTTGGCAGCCGCCGCAGAGCGCGGATTATGAAGCGGGCGATCTCCGTTAGGAACATCCTCTATATCTCCAGGCATCATTGAAGACTCTGGTTCGCTTTTACTATCCGATATCCCAAACATGGCTTTCAGTTCACGATCAGAGCTTCTTTTGGTTGCATTCTCGATCGCCCTCGTTTTCTCAAAGCTTCTGCCGTAACATTCTTTGCCCATCCGAGGAGTGGCATTACCTGCGACATCAGCTGAGCCGATTGCATTCTTCATCGTAAACGCCCCCTCGGCTTGGCCCGGGGCAGCCACGACGGGTTTGCCTTTATTGGGGCGCTTTTTCTTTTTATGTGACTTTTTGCTAGGCGTGGCAGCTCCTCTCCGCAAGGCCGAACTAGGGCCCAGGCGGGGCTTAGGAATCCCCCCGGGTTTCAGGGGAAGTCCGTCAGAAAACATTGAGTCAAGATAATATTGGCACCGCTTAGCGGCCCAGAACTTAGGCGTCACAATGTTGACAAGATACAACTTTGACCCATGCCATTGGGTCCACAAATCGTTTTGCTCCAATATCAGCAGCCTCATTTTGCGTTCTTTCGCATTGTAAATGAACTAGGCCAAAAGGAAATTGTTCGGACACAGCTGCTGCATCAATTCTGTGTTCTTGGTAGATGCATCAATTTCATTGACCCGCCTGCCTTAGTGACCTTGCAAACTGCCTGGTTATCTTCCAAGAATAACATATAGCACAGGTCTATCCAGCAGGATTTCCCACAGCGGCAATGCCGCAACAAGCTCCTTGCGTAACGCAAGGTCGGCCGCAACGATCTCAGCCTCAAATGTACTGTGAGATGCGCATGTTTGTCTTTGCGAACTCTTCGATTATCCTGCCCGTGTATACGGGCCCCAAATCGCTTGATAACTGGTGCTCGTGCTCCTGTGTGTTCTAATGTCACTCGCCAGATCTGCAGAGTATTGCTTGAACAGAACATCCTCCTTTTTGTCACCCACCCACGAGGTCATACGATAATGAGATGTACATTTTATGTAACATACGAGGCAGAAGAGGTCCATGTCTTGCTGTTCTGTCCACTTTGTGATACAACTGGCAGTTTGACACACAGCACGTAGTAAGTCGTATCTGGCCATTCTCGCCCCGTAAAGTATCTTCATCAAAACTGTTGCTGCGATGGGTTGGAGCACTCCCGACTGAGTCGGTGACTCAGGGCCATCAAGGCTAGCTGCTGCGGCATCAAGGCCAAGCACCTCTATCTCCTTGGAGGGCCGGTATCAACGTTAATCTGTAACGCTGACGCTATAGCCTCCTCAGCTGGGGAGTAAATCTCTCCTCTGGGGCCGCCCTGTCCATCCTCTAAGTCGGTAAATTCTGGACCGAACGGGGTACCCGCGCCCGGATATGTGGCCGGGTCTGCGTCCGTCAATTGAGCGTATAATGTAACGCAGGAATCGAAGAACTCTGTCATATCGTATTCGATGACTTTCACTAGTTTTGGTTCTCTCGGCTGGTATGGCTCGGTCGTCTGGGGCGCCGAGTCACCCCCCGTTTCCTCCTCGCTACTCTCGTCTGCGACGGAGGCGTTTTCCCTAGCTTGGGGAGGAGGCGGGCCAAGTGCCGTAGGCAATTCCCCGTGCCACTCAATTGTCTGAGTTGATAATGCATGCTCGCATCCTAAATATCGTCCAACAGCCGTTGGAGGATCTATTTCTACACCCTTAGGGCAATTTTCCGAAGGTTCTTGAAGTAACTTCCATCCCTGGGCTAGCTTGTCGGCAGGTCCCGACAGTTTGACATCGTCGACATAGATGGTCAAGAAGATTTGCAGTTCTTTGTGGAAATAACAGCTACGCCACGGGCTACATTTCACGAAACCTTGAGCCGTGACGTGTCCCTCGCAATGCTGCTCCCAATATCCGCCCGAATCAGGGTGTCCGTACAACGATGAGTACAGTGG